GGGGTTACATTTTAGGTTTTTTATTGATTTTAATTACTCATTTTGGGCTATTGCCATACAAAATTAGATGTATCTGTCAAATAATCAATTTTGTCAAATAGCACCTTCAAACAAATGGTAGATGGTTTTAAAAACTGTGTAACATAATGTATGCATTCCTCTAACTTCACCAATTTAAATCCCTAATGATAATGTTTCTATGTAATTTCCCATGTCATGCTGGGCTTCCCCTAACCCTTATGTTTACCAAATGTATGAATTATGGGTATTTCCCTCAAAATTGTGTACAGTACTTATGGAAAATGTTGAATTTGTCTGGGAGACAGTGCAATAGCAATTGACTATGTCACTGTAGAATGGCCCTAAGCCAATCCAAATGTGCCCACTCACATTCTCACAGACTTTTCCAGGACTCGCCTCCAAATCCGTGAGCCTGCTACGTTGGGATTGGGCAATGATATCAACACTGTCAAACAGACAGACGAAAAGATTTGTGATAATCTCGAGGGCAATAATGCATCATTCTGTTGTCGGCTATTCATTCCAGAGTTCATTCTGAATGCTTATTTATTATTGCATTACAGCTAGGGTCACACCTCGGGGTGACTGACAACGGACAGCCATGTTTACTGCTAAGTGCCATTAACGCTCCATTGAACTACATTATGCCCGAGCTATCATTCCGTCCCACGTCTGACTCATAAAACACATTCTCAGAGGCTGCTGTACCCGACAACAGACGCTGTTCAAATGAATTAATGACATAAGGCTCGGAGATAAACCCAACCTTACAGTGATAAGTGAGTATGTGGGAACAGGATGCCAGGAGGTAGGGTAAAGAGAGGGAGGGAAAGGAAGGTTGGGAGAGCGCCGGTTACCGACCCGGAGGGCGGATGCCTCGTCGCGGGGAGGAAGGTAGAAAGAGCAATGAGTGAAAGAGAATAAATGTGAAGCTACAAGGAAGTCAAGAGAGATTACCGGTGAGGAATTTGAACGTGACATGGGGTAAATCAGTGTGAGGAATTCAGACAGGGTGTCATTTGTAAGAGGTTTAAAGGTGTAAGGGTGATAATGCAAAGGACACGATAAGGGCAAAGAGGGGAGATTCTGAACGCACAGTGTCATGACTGTGAGGCGATTAAAGCATAATCACTGCTGCAGGAACATGAAACACTTCATTGTAAGGGCAATTGTGTCATGCACTTCCTGTGTTTCTCCTGGCAAACTAGCATCCGGCTAAAGCCCAGTCTCTTTTCCCCTTTTAATTGTGGATTAAAAGCTCCTGGCATCCTCTAAGTAGACTTTGTTCTCAGCTTTTTGGAATGACTTCTTTGCAGGCCTCCTATGGTGGCCAACATGGACAAAAGCGCTACAATGGCCCAGAACACTTACACTAGGAGACATATGCTGCACTTTCAAAACTTGCAAATATAAAAACACAAATGTGCCAAAACCATGCGAAATTAAGAAACATCTTCATCAACTTGACATCACATGTGCAGCATTTAGAAAACCATTCACCAACTTGACAAACCATGCGCAGTGTTTCCTAAAAGCGCTGGGAGCTCAAAACAGAATGGAAACAGGGAAACTAAAAAGTGATGGACACAGCTGGGACCAGAGCGCTTGTTGACGTTGGAGGATTATAAAGTCATCCAACAATAACTGTCATGGGCAACGCTCCTAAAATTTACAATTGATTGGCTTATTTGAACAATGTGATCACATGATTCCTTCCTTCGCTAACCTATTTAATTTAATTACAAAACACAATTATGAAACAGACTAACCCAACGTCAAGAAGCACTGTGGTCCCAGCTGTGTGCATCACTTTTTAGTGTCCCCTGGTTTCTGTTGTGTTTTGAGCTTCTTGCAGGATTTTCGTTTATTCATATTGCTTTTAGTAAATCCTGGGCGTGTTTCGTTGGGTTGTTGTCAAGTTGGGCCCCTGTCGGCCACCGTACCTCCCACTGATGAAAACTAATAAAGCGTTTGATGTCCACAGGTGAGTGTTTACAATCCCACCATCGTTTAAATTAGCAATAAACAACCAAATAATTTGTTTCTCTTTGATATTATATTTCAATCTTCATGAAGGTGGAAGGGATTTGTGTGCTCCATAGGTCAGGTAGCAGGAGAAGTAAATTAGGCGGGGAGAGAAAAATGGGCTTTCCGCATGCTCTGGGTGCTATCGGCAGAAAGGTTAATGGCTTTATGAGATTGCAATGACATATTATTGTGAAGCAAACAATTATTTGCTTGTAATATTGCAGAATGTAGTTGTTGCCGCGTGTTGTTAATGGAATATTAAATCCACAGGCATGTGTATATGTGTGATAACGGCTTGAAGCTACACAGTGCACGTACATGTTTTATGTTTGCATTTTTATATGTGACAATGGGCCTCATGCAGGAAGCGATAAACAAACAAACGTCCTCTTTTTCTCTTTTCATATACTCGATTTGTTTTAATTTTGTTAGTACTTATTGAATTCACCTGTGTTTTCTTATTTGTGCTTTGTACACCCCAGCACGTGCACTCCGCTCTGCATCAGCCAAACGGCTCGCTGCACCAGCACTGCGAGGGGGACCCAAGTTCCCATGAGCAAAAACACGTGGGTTTGCTATCCTGGCTCCTAAATGGTGGAATGAGCTCCCCATTGACATCAGGACAGCAGATAGCTTACACACCTTCCGGCACAGACTGAAAACTCATCTCTTTCGACTCCACTTCGAGCGATATAATTGGCTTATCTAAAGCCAGTTGAGTAGCACTTGAAATGTTTTAGCTCTATGAAACTGATGTACTTATATGATTCTGTTTTCTTCAAGTTTGTATCTTCTTGGTCGAATGCACTTATTGTAAGTCGCTTTGGATAAAAGCGTCAGCTAAATGCAATGTGCTTCTCTGGACAGGAACATAACATGTTCCTGTCCAGAGAAGCAAGGGCACTCTTCAAGATCAGAAAATAATCTTGTGTCCAGACATTGTTAGTCCAACACATACAATTTAAATTTGAGTAACACATTCTATTCTATTATTTCAGGATCCTATTTTAGATGTTTCTGCAACTGACTCTCTAAATAAACATGTTTAATATGTTTAAGTTTAATTAATTAACAGTAGCTTACCTCAATATCACCCACTGCTGAAATTCTTCGTACAGCTGCTTTTTTTTTGCTTTTATTTCCCCCGTTTTTGTCAATCTTTCTGAGTATTTGCACACGGCACAACAGCTGCCCTTTGGCATTACCTGTGCTAATAAAAAAAAAGAAGCAAATTCTCCTATTCCTCTATTGGACAAATTAGAGACAATATAATAGAAATTATGTTGCGGCATGAAGACCAATTTGCACGTGTACATTTTACTTTCCCTTCTTCTGTCCCAACTGTGCAAAGTCTAAGCTGTTCGAAGGTGGAAAAGAAAGGAAAAGAGACCCAGAGGCAGGTGTCTGCAGGGACCCAGGACCCCCGGGGGGCCACATGAAAGAGCCTCTTGACTGGTCACTTGTGGGTAGAATTGCACTGCCCAGCCTGCTATAATGGGGTTTTGGGGGAATAAGATCATACATAAACACAACTCCACAGACCTGCAGCTCCCCCTGGGGCTCCACAGCCACGGTGACCTCGAACACAGCATACATCACGAGAAAGATGTGTGTGTAGGGAGGGAATGTGTGTTTTTTCTGTGTTAAGGGAGAGCAAAAGGGACTGTGTGCTACATCATGATACATGGGTTTGCTACCGTGTGTCAATGCAGTACATCAGTGACAAACCACAAGGAGATCTGTGGAAAAGGGATGTGTGTGTCTCTCGGTGTGTCTTAGTGTGGCTCACCTGTCAGGTCTCCCTGGTGGGCCATTACCTCTGATGCTTGGCTAGGATCTATGAAGTGCAGGACATGAACATTACCCTTGTACATACACACACACAGAGGCCTTCTCACCTTGGCCTGATGGGATATCACTGGGGGAATGTTCATCCACCACCAAAGACAATTTGTCTTGATAGCCGTGATGGTAGGCCCAAAGCAGTCTCTCTTCCCGCTTCATCCATGTCCCTCAGGTAGCTGGATGTGTCCGAAGGTAAAAAGCACAGCGAGCTGACATGAGGTTTTGGCTGATTGACGACAGGCTGGCTCCCCACATGAGTGGAGAGGCAGCAGCCTGTTCCCCTGCCTGCGGTTTATACAGGGAAGTGAATGAACGCTGGCGCACGGATGTTAAGCAGTAAATCTTCTCCACAATGAGATCTGCCTGAGAGCACATGGGCATTTGAGTAGTTCTGTGGGAGGCGTTCATTAGAGTTCAGATTAAGTTAAAGCATGAAAACAAGCAAAGATGGAGCATATATGAATGTTTTTTATCATACGAGCTGGGAAGTCCTGGCAGGAAACCAGCCCACAAACTATGGATACATGGTTCTGCAGTGCGAGAGTGACGGAGGCAGATGTTTGGTTGTGTTATACGACCCAATAACAAACATGTGGCGCTGCTGCATCCAGAGGAGCAGGTGCTGCCCCCACACAGCCATTACCATCTGCAATAATGAGATCAGGGACTCAGATCACCCCTGAAGTAAAAATACAATAACTTCACGAACAAGATTTTTAAATAATAAGTACAAATCTTTTCCAACAGGGACTTATTAATGACTGCGTGTCCTAATCAAATTGTATCATTTTTTATTTCCTGTTGTATCAGTATAAAACTCACTTAATACCCCATTTGGCACTCAAAACACTGCTGTGATATTTATCCCTCAGTGATTAACATGTTTAGCCTCATATAGGGATTAGCCAAGCAGAAATTGAGAATTACACGTTCTCTGTGTTAAAAGGGTAAATTATGATCGATGGAGGGATGCTTCGGGCTGTTGGGTGAATGGGAGAGGGGAAAACAGAAAGATGCAGGATGGAGGAGAGGAGGTGGGGGGAAAATGGGCTAGTATCTCTTTAACTCCTTCTGACGTCATGCTGATGCAGATCTGGCGTCTGGATGCGAGCGGATGAGAGGAGGAGAGGGATGCCAAAAAAATGAAACTCCTCAGCACTAATTTCTCACATGTCTCTGAGGGAGAACATGAAGACAAACCGGACGACATTCTTGGTGGATTAATACCTATTTTCACCATTGAGTGAGCGTCACGGCTACAGAAACGGCAGGGACACGCATTTTTGAGTTGAAAAGCGACCATATTGAGGTCAGAGGAAAGCGTTGCCAAGGCGACCAGCTTGCTAGGGAGGACACTGCGGCGCGCGTCATACTCCGAGAACGAGCGTGCGTGCTCGCGAGGGTGCGCACGTGCGCGCGAGACAGCTCTCCGAGGCGGTTACGGCGTCCACAGCAGCAGCAGCGGCAGCGGAGGCAGCATCTCTTCACACGAGACTACCGGAACATCCCGCAGTCTGTGCCCGCTGTTACCGAGACGAGCTGAAGCTAACCGAGGCTTGAATTGGTGCTTGGCGGTGTCAAAGGTCTCCTTCAGGGGATTTATTGAGGATTTACCGACGAAAAACGCAACAAAAAAACAGAGCCACCATTGGTCTGCACAGGTGACTCTTCCCGGCTGTCAAATCTCCCGAGAGCCTGCAGACACGAGTTGTTTGGGGGTTGTTTTCGGTCGTTAAAGGCCTATGTAAAAACAGACAATCCTCCTGAAGCTGTCAGCCGAGAAATTAATGAAAATACTGCCGAGCTGGAGAAGACGGGGACTAAGCCGAGCCTGCAAGCTCGGACGGGGAATGATACTAAAGCCTGCCGTATGTGCTGTGTAATGCGGTAGAGCAGCTTCATTTTTTTGGTGCCCTGTCTCTACTCATGAAGTCCCACCTGCCTCCCCAGTTGGATTGATAAAGTGCTGTCAAGCTGGTGGAGGTTTTTGTATTTATTTTTTCTGAAACGAGCACTTTTTTTTTTGCTCGCTTGACATTTACCACCGCTGGAGGAAGGTTTAGTGAAGAGGAGAAGGAGACATCTGAGGACGAACACATCATCGGGAATCTGGCGTCCCAGCTGCAACCGTGGATCACAAATGAACAGGTAGGCTGAGATTACACGGCCAACGCGGAATTCTGAGGAGATAATTCTCTGTGAAATCCTGTCTGCATACTTAAAAACGCTGTTTTAATTACACCTCCCTGTGTGCATTTAATTAGCATTTTTAATTGCGTGAGTGTGTGTTTGGTGTGAAAGAGACTGTGCTCAAGGGGTGTTTTTGACACCTATTGTGAACACAATCTGAAGAAATCAGCACCAGAATATGGGCTAAAATCGATTATTCATCTTTAACTATCTGTTGCTTACATGTCATTTTCTAAAATCACATTTAATATTTATTTTATTTTGAGATATGGTGTCAACAGGCCCGTAAACAAATGCATTTTTTGGAGTTGTCCAAAACATGTCTGCAATGAATGTATTTTTAGCCAATCTGTTGGATTATGCAATAATGTTTTTGTATGGATTGCTGTGTGTTGATGTCAAACCTTTATATATACAGTCTATGTGTCAAACCTGTTGTGAGTCGTGCCTTAATGCACACGATCTGCTCCTTCATAACACTGAAGATGCATCCTCTGTTCCATTAATGAGAACTTGGAGTTGGAGCTCCTCTGGTGGAATGAGAGGGACAGAGGCTGCTATTCACTCAGGCTGAGCTCATTTCCCCATCCTTGTAACTTGCAGAATATGTCGCCTATTAATCAAAGAGCATCGCCTGAGATTGCATCAATGCCGCATCAGTCATTGCTCACATGGTGATCATTGTGCACTGATTAAACTGTGCATTGTCTGGAATAATAGTGGAATTATTTTTTTTGTTACCAGGCCTGTTTTGTAGACAGAACTCACAAAGCTCTCCCTTCAACAGTCAAATCATCCTTCAACTTAATACATTTCTTCACTCAATCCTTTTCACTCAGGAAACGCCATGGCCATGAGAACATATTCCCCTAAATGCTCTCCTCCACGCACACACACACAGATGCACACACACAGCCTGAAGAATGGGGTGCATTTATATGCTGTGGCGGGTGTTGTGGGGCATTCGGATCGGCAGGGCCTGCTAGATGATAGAATTCAGCGGGGACAAGAAGACCTCTGTTCTTATCTGCGGCGACGAGAAGGGGAAGGCAGCTCCGCTCATCTTCCTCGGTTAAAGCATCTCGCCTGCCCTACATAGCAGATAGTTGCTTCTCTTGGGGAGAAAGCATTTTAATGGAGGCGGGGGGGGGGGAATATGTGACTGTCGTTGTGCTAAATAGATGTTGTCACAGAGGAGTTGTTATTTATCTCGATGGCAGCTGGCTGGAAACTTTGAAGACTTGTGGAGATATTTAAGGAGGGATAAAGGTGGCAGGCTAATGCATTGTGCTGAGCGATAGTGTGTGAGAGAGAAATATTTACACACAGAATGGAGGGGGGGGGACATTGTAGGGCATTTCTGCAGCAGTGCAATATGGTGTGATTCATTTTGGGTCAGTGGCTGATTTTCAAAAACAGAGAACAGGTGGCCTTATCAAGGATCCCATTTTGCGTGTGTGTGAGCGCCCTTCATGCACACATTTGTTCATTTCTTTGACCGAGTCCCATGCAAACACCCCATGCAAACATCCATCCTGGGCAAGGTGCAGCAAAGATGGAGGCAGATGGAGCTGAAGCCTGTTGGTAGATTGATGGACGGGTTGCTAAGCAGTCACCAATGCAGACTAGTGTTGTGACAGGGTGGGTTTTAAATAGCATTTATTTTGTACACTTTAATACTGTTTTTAACTGATAATGAAATCTCTCACTATTGTTCCCAATGGAGATACATCAGTGACACCATTGTGTTAGGATGTTTTCTGACTGTGGAGATGACGCCACTTGCTTCTAATTTTAGGTGAGAGGTGTCATCTGCGTAAGAAATATCTTCAGCATCATAGTGGAATGAAAATGTTTGTTTAGCACACTCCAAATGAATGAGTGAAAAGCCAAGGCTAGCTGAACACACACATCCTGTGGGAGGCGCTGTTGTTCGTATCTACCTTCTGTGACTAGCAGCAGAGGAAGTTAACTATGTGTGTCAGTCGATGCTTTGAAGGTGCCGAAATGTAAATCCAGTCCTGCTGGCATCGTTTCATTCCCCCAACAGCAAGAATATGTTTTCCACCTCCATGCTTACATGAATGTTCCAATGTGAGTGTTTGTATAATTGATGGAATATTGCATAATTGTGGGATTTCTTTAGAAATGGTAACTTGAGAGCAGTGTGTTAATGAACACCCAAGAGTGTTGTTCAATATTTTGCCAGTTTCTGTACCTGTTGAACATGAGAAACCTGTTTTCTCTGCTTCTCTAGTACAACATAAAGCTGATTTAAATGGAATAGCTCAACAATGGATGCTCTTTTGATATAAAACAAGGCTTGGTAATTGACAACACGCTGTTCACAATGGGGAGTTTGCCTCTCCTTCTCCCTTGAGCCCCAGTCTCACCATGTAATCACCCATGTGTTTGAGTCATGTTTCGGCTCTCTTAAATACATTTTTCACTACCTCCCTCCTTTGCCAAAGACAGTATGCTTTCGTAACACCATATATACTCTGCACGACTCCTTTATCGCCTTTATTCCTCGTATTAATCTGTCTCTCTTCTCTCTACTCATTTGTTTGGTTCAAAGGGAGCCTAGCTGTGTCCTCTTTGAGGAGTGTATGTGGTTGCTATGGCAGCATCTTTTTTGGAAGGGTAAGCCCGCAAAGATTTGACAACCTGAAGCTTTTGTTTTTTTTAAACTGGCCTGTACGTATGCGCTCTTGCATATGGGCGTGTATATTAGGGCTGCAACATTCATCAAAAACAACTTGCATCCCCTTATTGACTGCTGCACTGTTGAAAATGGCTGAAGGCTGCATTTTTTCCCCTTCACGTTAAAGCCCAGTAAACACAGTCTCTGGTGCTGACATCAAATCGTTACGGCCAAATATTTCATTCCATTTAAAATGAGGAATCTTACCATTAGCAAGTCTTATTTACTTCAGCTTTTACAGCTTGCAAAAAAAGCATCTGAAGTAGGAATAGGGGCATACAAATGAAACTTTATTTATATAGCACTTTTCATACACACAGGTAACTCAAAGGGCTTCCAGTTCATTTGAACAATGCATGTTATATTATTGAGGATTGTTCTTTGGGGAAAGTTCCCCCATCTTTGCTCATCCTATCAACTCATCCCATCAGTGAGTCTGTTTTGTTGCCATTCTCTGAGAGTGCTGGTGTCCCACAGTCCCTGCACTGTGGCCCATCTCTCTCCTTTGTCTGAGCCTGTTGAATGAGGTCTTCTCTCTCTGGGGTGCAACATGAAGACGGGGGTTTGGAACCATTACTTGTCTGAGTTCCCCCTCTCTTTCGTCGTCTTCTTTTCCTCTATATTGCGGCATTTTCTGCTTTTCTTTAATTGGGCGCCTTATTGTTCCTAGCTGTTATATCTTCCCCTCACACACTTCTTCCTCTGTGTCCTCCGTTTGTCTTAAATCCCACATGTCGTCAGTCAACCCGAAGCGAACGGCGCTGCAGTGTCCCCCGTTGGCTCATTAGGGTTAGATCAAGGTCGAACACTCTCTGATACGTTTGATTGAAGAAAACTCAAGTTGGCTTCCGAAGTCTCCAGCCAACACCTTCACACTGCCACTCCTCCCGCCTCCCACTAGAACCTGACTGACCACCGGCCAAGATCGATGAATATTTACTCCTTTTTTCTTCAAAGAGATAAAAGCCAAAGGAAGACAGAGAAGGTGAGAAACCACCCAGAAAAGCCAGATCCAAGCTGCTAGCTCCACTCTTTAGTTGGACAGTGCAGGAGGTTGGATACAGCTACAATAGAAAAAACCTGCAAGGATCAAAACCACTGTTGAGTGATTTTTGAGCAAATAATACCATTCAACAGGACTTCGTGCCTCTGTGTCGCAGAATCTGCCCTGAATAGAAAGTAGGATACAGATTTGATGGAATCAACAGCAGTAGAGTCAGCAACAGCCAGGATTAAATACATCCTGCTTTCTAGCCAATCAGATTGACTGACATTCAGAATCCATGTTGCTCTGAGCAGTGCGGCTGATCCCTCTCGCAAACTGAGAGACTTCCCTGGATTTCTCCCTTGCGTCCATGGGAATGTTCACCTGTGTACCTCTCTGCAATCCCTTTCGTAGTCCAGGGAATTCATGCACAAATCTCACTGCAACAATTTTGGAGATTAATGTGTTTTGCCCCCCCCCTCCCCCACCCCCTCCATGTCATTGATTACAGTCCATGTTGTCTCTATAACACACACACACAGCACTGCAGTGAATCTTTCTCTCGGTTACACTTCGCCATCGATGGGGACGCAGAGAGATTCAGTGAGTTATGGTATTGACAGCATCTCAAGGTCAGGAGTAGCCACATCCTCTGGAGTACTCCGTAGTAAACCCTCAGCATCGCAAACAAGCCGCGGGTCAACGGGTCCGGAGACGGGCAAGTATGCAGGAATAGTCCTGCCCTCCCACCCCAGACACATACAGATAGAGGAGAACAGGATGTGCTCCGAAAGTCAAGTGTTGTCACAGGAAAAGAACGGAACACACGGGAAGTGTTTCAGAAAAACAAGCCGTAAATGAGTTGACTGTACAACTGGGAGAGACACAACATTACAATACCACCATCTCTATTTTGCACTCTTACATCTGCTCCATTCTACCTCCTCCTCCCCTGCTGCTGCTGCACGCACATTAGTATGGGCTGAGACACCACCACACATATTAGTATGAGCTGTCAGCTGGAGCCCTAACAACTAGCTGGAGAAAGACCGGTGGAATTGTAATGCTTGGCAAAGGAAGAAGCGGCAGTAGTCGACTGTGTTGGCCAACATGCTGAAGTGTTATCACCGCGGCTGCACTGTATAATGATGAGGGTTGTTAAAAACAACACACATCTTTCCCCCTCTTTTGCTGATGTGTGCCGGTGCCTCTGTCAACGTAATGAGCCCTCCGTGGCGGAATAGCCAGTGGCTGTCCCGTAGTACGGAC